ACCTAAAGCTAATGGTGCAGTACTCTCTAATGCTTCCAAGAGATCAGAGTGAGTCTCTCTATCTTCCAATTCCACTCGATCACTAGTATCACGTAGAAACGAAAGTCGAGCCTCAGAACTCCAAAACAAAGGATGTTGCAATACCTCTGATGCTCTTGGCCTGATGACAGTCAATAGCAAGTAATCAAAATATATATTTACTTAAATAATATATAAATCTTCTATAGTGCAAAAACAACAAATCTTATTCCAAAAAAATGAACTCATTCAAACGTACAAAAAATAACATATTATCAGTCAGAAAAATGTAGAAATCAACAACAAAGAGCCTTATATTGTTGGACTTTGGTATGTGTGGATGAAAACTAATGTTTGAGGATTTCAAACAGTCATTTCTTACCTCAAATCAGGATTAGGATTTAATAATCGAGAAATAAGATCCACAGCTTCCGGGATGCACTCCACCAAGAACAGATCCATCTGATTCTTCACAATATTGACATCACGCTCAAAACGATCACCAAATGGATGTCTACCACCAGTGAGGCAGAAAAAGAGAACACAACCCAAGCTAAACAAATCGACTGCACGTGTTTGCCGTCCATGAAGAAGTTGTTCAGGGGCTTGCCAACCAGAACTCCCACAACCTGCAAAGTTTCCAAACGTAATCATTCCTCATGCACATTGTTTGTTGAATTCTGAAACATAAAAGTCATGCTATACATAATAAATCATTCAATCCATTTAAATTATTATTAAAAATAAGTTCAAAAAATCAGAGCATACAACTTAATAAATTACTATATAAAATTTCACATTTAAAGATTGTTTGTACTAAAAAATGTAATAATAATAAAGATCACACTCAATACTAGTTTTTAAAACTAGATGAACAAGATTTTCTTGGTAAAAATTTCTAATTTATAAGATATAATAATGTGTTGATAAATCAGACCATAAGTTTACAGTAATTTAAGAATATTACCGGTAGCATGATGTCCCAAGGAAGACATATCTTTTAGAAGGCGCTTACTAATACCCATGTCAGAGAGCTTTGCACATACAGATTTTTGCTTGGTTATCAACACGTTTTGTGGCTTTAAGTCTCTGTGAATTATCCCCAACTCATGCAAATGCTCAAGCCCGGCAACCATATCCCTACATTATACATAGCATAAAATAAAATAAAATAAAACTGACATGAAACTTATCCAATGAAATGAAAATTCATATATTATGGTTAAATATCTAAACTTGTAATAAGGTACATGAAGGTCAAGGGATCAAATTTTGTTCTTGAACATAAATTTTCACGTAACTACGTGAAATAGCAACAGAGTGATTATTATTTGATATCAAGACTCAATTATGCAGGTACAAAAGAATGTAACAAGTGATCTTGGATAGATCAACCAAATATGAAACTCACGCACTTGGATGAATGAGACTTGATTTCAACATAACAAGTATATGGCCGTACCAAAAGCATGAATTAAATTTACTCTGTTACATAAAAATATTATATGCAAGACAATAAGGAAACAATACACCGCATAAATTGTCACAACGACTAGTTCTATATAACTAGAGAACTTTAATTTATTGAATAAAACTTGAGATTGATAAAGTATATACCTCATGAGTCTTAGAAGAAGTGGTGATGGGCGGCTATTTTCTTTCCACAGATTAAGATCTGATACTACATTCTTGAGAGACTCCAAACGCAATTTATAATCACTGATAGGGCCAGCATCTTCATCCAGGCTAAGCAAAGAGTTCAGGGACGGATCAGAGCATATCTGAATCAAATCATCTAGACTGCAGGTACATCGTTCCAGCGAAAGATATACGAAGTCTTGATCATACTCCACCCCATACCATCGAACAATATTTTGGTGACGATCAGAAGCAATAAGATTTTGAACTTCTTTAAAGGCAACATTGTGGTGAGTCTTAACAAGACGTTTCACAGCAACTAGTCGACCTTCATAGACCCCCTCAAGAACAATTGTGCCGTCGCTACCCTTGGCTATCTCTGTATTGGTTACCATTAGTTTACCAATTTGACGTCCACCACCAGTTGTATCAGTAAAATTATTAGTGTGAAACCAGTTGTTAAAATCACTCTCACTTCGAACCATATCTTCATTTTCAGATGAAAAAGATGCATCCTTTTTCTCAAAATTTCCATTTCTACTTGTCTTCCGAGATTTCTTTTTCTTGGAAGATACAATTTTTGAATTAACAGTACTGGGTGGTTTCTCCTTCAAGAAAAATTGTTTTGCCTTTGCAACCAGTGCCCCACCTTGTTTAATCAATCCCAAAAACATGGTTATAAATATTACAATAAAAAATCCTAGTGGCCCATTGAGAATCATGGCTATGAAGTCAACATCATGGGTTCCTATTTTATGTCCCTGAACTGTACTTGAATCATTAACCTTCATCAGAGGCATTGGAACTATTGCCTGACTATCATCGTTTGGGTGACTAATTGCATTAGGTTCCAGAAGGGAGGCTATGTTTGCAGCAGGTCCGGGAAGCATCAACCTTTCAGGATGAATATTTGAATGTTTAACATTTGGCTGCGAAGGAAGCATTAGACTTGAAGCAGACGCCGAGAGCATATTATCTGTATTATGAGAATCTGATAGTATTTTATGCCCTGATGATTCGGTCAAGACATTGTTCCGTTCACGAAAAACAAGTACTTCTGATTGGCAAGACAATGGCTGAGTAAAATCGAAGTAAGTCTCAAAATTACCAATATTTTGAAGATCCGATGGAACATTATTTGTTGGATTCTCAACATCTGGACAGACTAAGGTAGCTCCAATGTCGGCAACATTCAAACTCCAAGAAACTTCTTCTGACCCTGGGATAGATGATTTCAGAAAATAATCTGTTCTTGTTATGTACAGTCGTTGCTCAATAGGTTTCATCAAACCAGGTTGTATCAGATCTATATTGTCCAGGTTATTCTTGGAACTATTACCATTTAAAACACTGCGCTCTTCATTGCTTAGCCCAGATGATGAGAAATCAGAACTGTGATTACGAATCAACTTTCCTGTAACAGGATTAATCTCATAGACAGTGGTTTTCCTAGAACCAGTCATCACTGAACCATCCTCAAATATGAATGGTGTACTTCTAACAACCTCATCAATGGTGCGGGGTAGTTTCTGCAGTGTCAGATGACCAAAGAATACTTCATATAAGGGGAAAACAATACAAGTTTAAACATATAAACAACCCAGAAATCTTTCACGACTAGGCTAGTAAGGTTAACAAAACAATGGAAATCAAAAGAAAAAAAAAATCTTCAAATCATTTATATGATGGACGTAATTAATTCACTAGATTATACCGTTCTACCATGTTCTGTGTGGATGTACAGCTCCCAGTCATCTCCACAATCAAAAAAGAAGGGGCTGCGGCTTGAATCAGAAGCATACTTTTTGTTGTAATCATGTATGGTAGGAGACTGATATGACGAGTAGACTGGTGTCCCAGAAGCAAATGACCAAATTATCTTCTTAGAATTACTATCTACCAAATAGATCTCCCCAGCCGAAGTAGCAACAAGAGCAGTATTACCTTTGCCTTTTCTGCAACAGGAAAAGGAAATGCAAATTGTGTAATTATGCAACACTCCAAGCCAGAATCGATTCATCGTAACCGAGTCCTAAATCTATAAAATTCCAGGAATATTAATTAGGAAATGAAGAATACTACATAATGAAAAGCAACCTACACAGAAAGGGGCAGAAGGGATTTGCCGCCAATTTGAGCTAATTCTTCAGAATTCTCCCTGTACGGGCCCAATTGCGAGAGTTCCAAATTCTCATATGCTCTTGATTCGCCAGTCAAGCTCCGAAATCTTGATATTAATAGTAGAAACACCCATAAACGGCGAAAAACACGGCCCCTCATCTCGGGACCAGGAGAAGTGGCTTAATGGAAATGAGGAGCTGAAGAATAAAGACAAATCGGAGCTGATTTCAAGCGAGATTTTCGAAAAGAAAAGAAGAATGAGAAGATCTTGTAGGGGTAGCAAGCTGTTAGAATCCAAGCATCTTTGATCCTTCTGCAATCATAGAATCGTGCCCCTAAATCGTCTTCTCTTCGGACGATCGAGCCAAGTGCTCCCGATCCAAACGCACCTGTTTTTTTTTTTTCGATTTTTTTTTCTTATTTATATACAATTTATTTAATGGCCCAATCGGCTCGGCTTCAGTACGCGAATGGAGAAACTCCAATTTCCCACTCGTAATTACGTTATTACCCTTGATTATTTACTCGTACGAGAATCAATTATCATTAAAATATGTTGGCATTAGTAAAAATAGTAATTGAAAAGGTTCCATTTTAGTTACCTACCTTTTTTTCTATAATTTTTTTTAATTTAGTTTAACCTAAAAGATTAAACCCTGGAATTTATAAATGATTATAGATTGCTCTCTCGAAGTTGACGGTTCAAATCCTTAAATCCTTGCTCTCTCGAAAAATTTGACTTATTTCAATTATGATCTTCTCTTATTGTTTTATATAATGATAGTTAAATTATGTTGGTCAAAGTAAATATGAATAAATGATGCACCGATAAATTAATATGTATTTTTACTTCGAAATTGAAGATTCACACGTTAAATTAGTGTAACAGCCCAAGTACATCAAGCGGTGTATCAGTGAGAACGCTGAGCTTTGAAGAAGATGCATAGTGAGATCCTACTTCAATGGAGAGAGGAATGAGTGTCGAACGAGAATATTGGGTCTCGAAAGAAGGTAGATTGTGGGATCCCACCTTGATTAGGGAATAACAAAACATTTTCTATAAAGGTGTGAAAACCTCTCCAAACCTGTTTCACCTCGAGGAAAATCCTAAAAATAAAAGACCAAAAAAAATAATTTCTACTCGTGAAGTTCAAATTTAGGATTATATTTAATAAAATTAAATAGTAAGTCAATTGATTGGTTCCTACCAGAAATGGTAATAATGAATTATTAACAGTGAGAAGCAAAGTTGTTTACCATATTCATTTAAGCCGTCAAACACATATGGATTACAAACTAAAAGCATGTCTTTGCATCGAGAAGCCCAGTAAATTACCTAATAATTAATAAAAAACCTGTACAGAAATTTTACATTATATTACCGCAAGCTAGATATTTGATAAAAGCGTCAAGAAGTTCGGTCATCCCTTTGAAGCAAGAGCTTAGAACAAAGCCATGTCTAACTTCCACAGGCCGAGCACTCTTCACGGTTAGTTAGAGAACATACCATCTCTGCCATTTTTGTACTATCATCTTCATCATTAGTTTTTTCCTGCAGAAACCATCAATGGAATTTGGTTATCTAATGAACTTGTAGCTTAGGCAGTGAGGGAAACAAACAGCTTTCGGTGTACACTACTACCTTGAGCATCGATGTATCAACTGTAAATTTGATGGCATCGGCTGCAGCCCGGGATCGTAGATAGTACATTCCTGTTTTTAAACCCTTCATATAGCAAAAACAAAAACAAAAAGATGAAATCGAAATTGCACTACCAATAGCAGGAGAGAATTTTCAGTTTGATGATTTATGGTTAGGAATCATTATTCTCCATAATGGTATGATATTGTCCACTTTGAGCATAAACTCTTATGATTTTGCTTTTGGTTTTTCTAGTCTTATAAACCCATGATCAACCCTTAATTAACCAATGTGGTACTCCTCTCCCAAAAATCCTCAACCTTAAGAGTGGTCTGAAATACAAATGAATACTAACAGAAGCCATATGAAAGTAAGGAAAACTCTCCCTTAAAAGATGGATTTCTAAAACTTTAATCAGAGTGCTATCACAATAATATACCTTTGACCACGCATAGAAGTGCAAGGAAGTGAGTTTTCCAAAATTTGGTTGGTCCATGTGAATATTGAGGCTCTGACTCTGGTCGATGTAACATCCTCGATCGACAGCCATGTCTACTAATGTCTTTTGCTTGATCTCCCAAACAGTTCTGAGTTCAATATATTAAGAACAAGTCAGAAGGACAAATCAACATCAAGAGAAAGAACAGGGGAAATGCAAGGAAAACTCATCGTACTTGTAAATGGCTCTTAGATCAATAGGGATTTCTGGAATGTTCTGAACAGAGCCATTCTCATATATAATCTTATTCTTCAGTGCAGGAGACCATACACCCATCTCTGTTAAGTCATGCAATAGATGCTTGTTCACAACAACAAATTCGCCACTGGAGGATGGAAAGAGATTTTATAATACAATTATAGAGAACATATAGTATAATAAAAGGCTCTGGAAGCTCAATTTGAAAAGCAAACCTTAGGACTCTGCGACTGTAGATGTTAGAAGTGTATGGCTCAAAGCACTCGTTGTTTCCAAGAATCTGGCTGGTAGAAGCAGTCGGCATTGGAGCCACAAGAAGTGAATTTCTAACACCATTTTTGGCTATCTGTCCTCTGAGAGTATCCCAATCCCATCGCTTCGAAGGAGTTACCCACCACATGTCAGGTTGAAGAATTCCCTTAAAACAAATAACTAAATCAGCATAGCGCAGGAAAAGTAGATGCTGTAGAATAGAATCAGAATACCAGAAGTTGGTGGAAATGACATAACTAAATACCTGACTAATACCTTTTTTTCCTTTTCCATTTTTATTCTTCTAAGGGAAAAACCCTTTCACATTAATACCTGACTAACAGGACTGCCAGAATACGTTTCATAGGGACCCTCCATTGCAGCAATCTCACAAGAAGCTTTAAGAGCATGGTAGTAAATGGCCTCAAATATATCTTTGTTCAATTGTTGGGCCTGGCATTTGGTACAATATGAACAACTTTAGTTCGAAAGTAAGAGGCTAAGATCAGAAGTAAAGCCAAAAGCCTAAACTACCTCGGGTGAATCAAATGGCAATCCCAGTAAAATGAAAGTATCTGCAAGACCTTGAACCCCGATACCAATAGGTCTGTGTCTAAGATTTGACCTTCTGGCAGTCTCAACAGGATAGTAATTGACATCGATTATCTTGTTCAGGTTTGTTGTCACCAGAGCAGTTATCTAATTACACAAAAGAATAAATAACCAAGTCAGTTAATTAAGCAAAAAGTACACATCTTTATAATAATAATAAGTAAAACAAACTACGGTCATGGTCATTACTAAGAAATAATACCTCGGCTAATTTGTCAAAATCAAAATAACGATTTTTGGAATCTCTGCTACCAACAAGCTTAGATGGGTGAGACTCGATCGAAACACCCTGCAGTTAAAAATAGTACAAATCAAATTAAGGTAATAAATCCCCCTAGAACAGAAGGCAAAGTTATCATGCAGAAAACAACAGGTGTTTGGTATAGCCCACCTTCTCTCTGACAAAACAAGGTAGAGCAATTGAGGAAAGATTACACACAGCTGTCTCTGTCGGGCTAGAATATTCGATGATCTCTGTACATAAGTTAGAGGATTTAATGGTCCCAAGATTCTGCTGGTTGCTTTTCCTGTTACAAGTATCCTAGAGATTGCCAAAAAAAGTAAAAGTTTGAAATTGTTGTTTGAAAGCTATTAGCAAGGCATGGTGGTTTAATACCTTAAATAGCATGTAAGGGGTTCCAGTTTCAATCTGAGATTTTAAGATTTCAAACCAAAGATTCTGTGCCTTGACAATCTTCTTGGCCTTTCCCTAGAAGTAAACACAAAATCACACACAAGAGCATATCCAATGTATAGAGCGGACCAAAGTTGGCTATATATACGCAAAACGAACTCCATGACAATTAAATTCTATTTACCTGCTGCTCATATCCAATGTATAGCTTCTCAAATTCCTCACCCCAACAATCAGACAAACCAGGGGCCTCATTCGGACAAAATAATGACCATTCTCCATTACTTTGAACTCTTTCCATGAACAGATCAGGCACCCAAAGTGCATAAAAAATATCTCGAGCACGATGCTCCTCCTACATGAAAAAACAGTTGCAAAATATTAAAATCTTCAGAACTTACATATTAAAACTGTATATCTAATATTTGAGTACTCATTTTAGAATCAACTGAAAACAATGTAGCATAATTTCCAATAAACAAAGCAGCAAATAGAAATTACTTTTCCATGGTTTTTTCTGAGATCCAAAAACTCATATATATCAGCATGCCATGGCTCTAAGTATGCAGCAAAAGCACCTGCAAATGGACGTTATAATGTGAGAATCCAAATATTGATCATAGATTTAATTTGATCCAATTAGCACACTACCCTTCCTCTTGCCTCCTCCTTGATCAACATATCGAGCAGTATCGTTGAAAACCCGCAGCATAGGCACGATCCCATTAGATGTCCCATTTGTTCCACGAATATAACTACCCATGGCCCGAATATTGTGAATGGAAACACCAATACCACCAGCTGATTTGCTAATAATAGCGCACTCTTTTAAGGTATCGTATATACCTTCTATACTATCATCCTTCATGCATACGAGGAAACAGCTGCTAAGCTGTTATGCGACAAGCAAACCCATGACAATCATGCACAAGAGGCCAAATTTTCTAATTAAAGAAAAACAAAACTTATGATCAGCATTCATTAGAAATAAAGCTATCAATGAACCCAAAACATACTTGAGGCGTTGGTGTTCCAGAGTTAAAAAGGGTGGGAGAAGCATGAGTAAACCAACGTTGAGACATGTTGTGGTAAGTTCTAATAGCAGAATCAATATCATCCTTCTGAATACCAACAGCAACCCTCATTAGCATGTGTTGGGGCCTCTCCACAACCTTCCCCTGAACCTTCAGGAGGTATGACCTTTCCAAAGTTTTGAAACCAAAGAAATCATAGTCAAAGTCACGGTCATATATGATCTCACTATCCAAACGAGCCGCATTCTGGAATAGAGAAACAAAAGAAAAAGAAATCCATTAAATAAGCAGTGTGAGGCAGATTAAGCACTCACCTGGCAGAAATAGCAAAACTTATGCGCTTGCAACTAAAAATTTGATCAACGAAAATTCACCGGCAACAAACAAAATCAATAAAATACAAACTAGAACAGGTGGCCTTCCCGCTACTAAAGAAGCCACCGTGTAGAATTTTCTTTTATACAAAAGTCAACCCTTAAAATTAAGGTCATGACCAATCAATGAATCCACACACGAATTTCATTACAAAACTATTAATCATCAAAGGCACGTAATATTCAAGAAATCGAGAAAGAATAAAAGATCACCTTCATGATTACTTCATAAACATCATCAGCTATGAGAGAAGCTTTTTGTCCTGATCTTTCACTGACATGGTTGTACATGTCTCTGATACTAAACATCATTACAGGTCAAAAATTAGTTTCATGTCAATATAGTGTAATAAACAAGTTTAGTTTCATACTGAAATGCATCATCAAGACTGATAGGAGCATATGCCAAACTTACGTCTCCGAGAACAACTTTTTCGTGTTCTTGTGCAAATTTGAAACAGCAATTCTTGCCGCCAACTGGGTTATACAAACAAGCAAAAAGTTAGCAGTTACTTACAATCATCAAGAAGCTACTATCCAACAAAAATGCCAGTTATGTGTAAGTGAATCGAGACGAACAAAGAAACCCCAGATGAGAAGAGAAACGAACGGAATAAACCAAAAGGTTAATTAGAAAAACGAAGATCGAAAAGAACACAAAATAAGAAGGCCAAAGGTTGCGCAAATAGTAGAGATAAGAGTGATACTCACGGATGCATAGTCAGGATGATTGGCGGTCATAGCAGCAGCGGTTTCGGCAGCCAATTCATCGAGCTGGCTAGTGGTAACGCCTTTGTAAACGCCGGCACAAACTTTTTGGGCCACCAGAACTGGGTCACAATGGTCGATACTAAGACCATAACTAAGCTTTTTCAAACGAGCAGTGATCTTGTCGAAATGCACCGCTTCCTGACGCCCATCTCTCTTTACCACATACATCTTTACAAGAAGAACTTAACCAAGGAATTTCGTCGAACAGGTCTTGTGCAGAGACAGGACTAAGAGAAAAACAGGGTTACCTCATGAACTCAAGATCAAATAACTTCCATGATGACGATGAGAATCGAGTCCAGACGAAAAATTCAAATTTGAAATTAAATTCAATTTCATATAGAAAAATAAAAATAAAAATGGTAAACATGCCGTGGAAGCCTTGCGGGAAAAAAATGAAATTTATTAGGGAAGAGGTTTGTTTGTGGGCGAAGTGCGTGCGAGAGAAGCCGGCGCCAAATTGAGAGAGTTTGGCGGGGCGGGGGTGGTGGGCCACCACTTCCCCTTTTTTCGCTTTCTAATTCACCCCTCTATTTCTCCATCCTTTCAAATTGACCTCGCAACTGTTATTTATTTTATTTTAAGCTCCCACACGGACGACCCCACCACATTTATTCTGGGCACCGGTTTTTTGAAATAATAATAATACATTTATTGTTGACTTACCGTTCTAAATTGATTTAGCCGCATTAATTAATACGTGTAAACTAAGTTTTTAACAAAATATCATCTCATCGTAACATAATTAAGAATACTAATAACAAATTATAGATTGGAAAGAAAAAATAGATAAAACAATTTAAATATTAATCTAAAATCTCTTTTATATTTTTTATTTACTTAAATACGTATGGACATTGATATAACCGTTAAATTAAATTTTTTAATATGACACCAAAATTATTATTTTAATAGTCGATGAAAATTTAAATTATAAGGATTAACTATTTAATTTTTTACTTGCTTTCTTTAATTTATTTTCAAAAAATTATTGAAGTTATTTTTTTTAACTCACTCTTCTCCGTAAATATATAAAATAAAATATTAGTTTGTGGAATTTGACTAAAGATTCAATTAGTTTTTAGGGTGGAGACTATATAAATATAATTTTTTTAAAATAAATATAAATTCGAGAAAACAAAATTATTGTCGATCCAATATATTGACTTTTTTTTTTTAGTTCAAGTAGTATATATATATATATTTAATTATTATTTGTATTGACTAGTGATTATAAATTAGTGGATGAAGAAGGAAAAACAACTCAAGCATAGTAATACGTGTATTGTCAATTAAAACACGAGAGGTGGAGCAAATCTTAAAGGGTTGAAATTCAACTGTTTAGCTATACTCAGTGTAAATATGAAATCATGTACCAGTTTCAATCGATAATCCTCTGACTAGAGCCTCCACATGCGACTCACTACACTAAGGCATTCACATGCGACTCACTGTCAAGAGCTCCCTCGGGCAGAGAAACTATAAACCTTCCCAATGTACGAGGGGTGACTGCTCAAGTTCCAAGCTGCAACAACTTGAGCGAAATAGAGTTCTACCCACTCAAATATTCACATTATTTTAGATTTAGTGCACTAGTTTCATAATAATTGAATTTTACAAGAACGCTAATATTTTTATTTATTTATTAGGAACGTTATTTTTATGTCAAATCAAATGTATAAATAAATAGTTCGAGAGTATGTTATTTATTTAAAAAAATTACTTGTATTCATACCAAAAAAATAATAGAAATCAGAGAGTTTTTATTAAGAAAAACAAAATTGTATACAAAAGGTAAAAAGTAAACACGGTAACTTTTGTGAAAATACGAATCGGTAAAATGTGAAATATTTATGGAAGGTTAGCGTGAAAATCGGTCCTCCAATATTAGGTAGAAACATTAGGTTAAATGGTTAACTGTAAATAAGTTTGCATTTAATTTTATCCCAACCCAAATGCCTAAAAAACCATTAATCGAACCCAAAAAGAACAATTAAGCGACAAATTTATACTGAATTAGAATTAGGAGATTTGTTTGTGAGCTGAAGGAGAGAGAATTATCCAGCGCTGATCTTCATCGCGTCTTCTCTGACCATATCTCACTGCACCGTGAGGGCAGGAAGAGCTTTGGAGTAACCGAGACGCCATTAACAGCAAGCGATCATTACGAGGATAAGCTCGGGCGACGGGTGCTCTCCCTGTTGCCCACTCTTCACTCCACCTTCTCCAAAATTCCTCTATAATCACGTGGTTACGCGTCTGGTTTTTTGCTAGCGGTTTCAACTAACCCCATTTTGGAGTGTATCCTTTTCATAGTGCAACTGCGAGAACCATTTTTATTAGGCGGCGACGACCCTTGCCGTGGCTACAGTGAAGTCCGATTGGAATTTTGCTGCATCTTTATTCTTACGGTGGTGGTACTGGGTTGTTTGTGATTTTTGGGTTCTGATTCTTCGGAGATACGAGTAGATTTTAACTGATTTTCAGAAGGTTATGGCGGAAGAAAAGGAATCGACCTCGGTTCCTCTCAGTCAAGTAGATAATGGCGGTCAGGATCCCGAGGATCCTGTCAAATCTCCTCCGAGTTCTCCCAACTCGTCCACTCGTAAGGTCTGGATCTCCTTCATACTCTTCAATCTCTGCGGTCTAATTTTGTTTTATTCTGATTGAGTGTCACATAGGCTGCTCCGAAATGTGCTCCGATCCATTCGGTCGGATTAATTGGATCCCGGTACTTGGACGCGGTCCTTTCTTCATTGACAATTTTCTTCTAATTTTGCAATATTATGGTCAAAGGGATGTTAGAATATTGAGGTTCGATCCGGTGGTGAACCATTTCGGATTGAATTTTGAACATTCCGAGCTTGTGCGGAGCGACTCAAAACTACGATTTAGAAAGATCTTGATCGAATTTGATTACAATGACACGAGTCGGGTTTTACGGATCGTTGGCCATCTGTCCGATAATCGGGAAAATCAAGTCAATTCTTAAGTTAGTATAATGCATGGCATGAATTCGTCAAAGAAAATGCAGAAGCATGCACGACTGTCAACTAGGTTGAATTGTTGTCTTTCATTAAAATGATAGTTGGGTTATATCCTTTTCGATCTTCAAGATTGAGCTAAATGGCAAACTTATTATTAAATATATTTTGGTTGCTTTATAAATTAGACTATAATTGTACAAAACAGCATAAAAAGACAAAGCACCAGGCTATAATTAGTAGAACAATGGCCGGCAATGACATTCGTGGTGTGGGTGAGTTTGATTGGTTTTGGATTCTGACAGCATTTTTCACGGGTCAAAACATGAAAACTGGTGTGCTAGTATTCTGTGTCTACAAACTGGATGATATATCTAAATCGGAGAAGAAATGGGCTAGTTTATTGCCGAGAACTTTTGTCAAAGGCCTAAAAGCGTCGAGGACTGTCCATTCTACAGTCTGGAGTATTAATCTCCTTTAGAATGAGAGACAAATATTTTCTAGTTTCATTTCTAATGGCATGGTTATGAGAAGTTTTCACCAAATTTGTTCATATTTAGCTCAAGCTTTAGATATTTGAAGTACTATCCCATCCAAAATGCCTTCTTTTAGGTCGATTGTTCCGTCACTCCCACATCTAGGATATTACCAGCTATTCTGCATCTTTAACCAGTTTCATATAATGGTCATAAATGGGAAACTTGGAAAAGGCATATCAAAGGATTTTATGATGATAGCCTCAACTTTCAATGCATATCTCGTACTTGAAGACCTGAGGTCATGGTATAAGGTTTAGAGAAATACTTGTTCGGTTAATATGTTGAAAGTATGATGTCATGCATGGTAAAGTTCATTCTATTTCTTCATCTTTTTTGGTACTTTATTGAATGTTTAACATTTCTGTCTTCGAATTTTGTCTTCTCATTTCGCCCTTTATTCTTCTTCTTCTTTTCTTTGTTATTGTAGCTATTATTTTTGTCATTGTCTGAATATCATATTTTCTTGTCCTCTTTCATTCAAGTCTGACTTTAATCATATCTTTCCTGTCCAGGCTTGCTGTTATGTTCTCCAAAGTTGGGTGTCAAAGAAGTTTATGACTGGATGGTAATTTGGCTTGGCATTGTCTTCCATTTTTTTTGTTTTGTTGCTCTTGTTGTCTCATAATTTCTGACATTTTATTCAATTGTTCATCTTGCAGTGTGGTTCTTTTCCCTGTTGCTGTTACCTTTTTTGTTACATGGTGGTTCATTCAATTTGTTGATGGTTTCTTCAGTCCAATATATGAGCGGCTTGGAGTTGACATATTTGGTAAGGCTTAACTTCTAAGTACGTTAGAATTAGAATTCTTTGATGCATTTATGTATAAAATTCATATTTGGACATTAATACTTGAAAACGACCTGTTGGCCTTAGTGCAAATCATGCGAGAATATTGTTGCATTTTGAAGAGCAATGAACGACTAATTTCAGAAAATGGTTTAGAAGATGCTGATCATTTGCGAATGTGGAAGGTTCCTTGACAGTTGTGCTTGAAACATAAGAATACTTGAACATTCATTTCCTATCTCTCAACAGAGTTTTAGAATATTTCTTCTATTATGTGTTACTCTCTGCCATCAATGGAGTTATAGGCTGTTTTCATCCAAACAAAAATGGATTTATAGGTTATTTCATCTTCTTTGGCTGCCGCCGCAGCTGCTGCACCACTTTGGTAAAACTCTCCCACAAACTTTGGTGTCAAAAAGGGGAATTAATAATAATAAAAAAAAAATCCTAGAAATGCACTTTGAGAATTGCAGAGCCATTTTCCCTATTTTCTATTTTTCTCCTTTATATTTCCTGTTTTGCTTACGACTCGGAGCAACAGGTTACTGTATTCTTATGTCCACGCATGTATAGGAACTGAAAAAGGAAAACATGAGGATATGGTACTCACCATGTCAACTGAGGATATGGGTATTTCTGGTATTTGCTAGCTTCCAAAAAATTAGTCCTAGCTTGACTGTGTCTAGGTAAAGTCTGCCTTCTCATGAATTTCTTTGTTTAGTTGAAATATAATGCAACTTTTTTTTTTTTTTTTTCTTAATGGAGGGTAAATTTATAGAAAGGAGGTATTAGTAAAGGGTGGTCTCATATTTCAACTTTATATTGTGGGCCCAGTCCATCTATAACATATAATGAAAGGAAAATATTCTGGATTTTACTCATGTTCCATTTCTTCCTTAACTTGAAGATTCTACTTTCTTTTGGTCTAAATGATCGTATTAACAAGTGGGATCTCATTTGATCTATATGATTATATAAAATATACTATATGTACCACCGAATGATTTCTTATGATAATATGAAATATTCTATGAAAATGTCTACTAGCAGAAGGATGGCACCTTGAATCAATTAACGGGAAATTTTAGACATTTAAGATAAATGTAAATTTCCTTGGAGTCCGCTATTCATGATATTGTCACCTCGCATTTAGGTTCTTCATTTTCTGGAAACGTCTCATAAGGCAGGTTTCTGATGCAGGTCTTGGGTTCATAACATCTTTGCTCTTTGTATTCTTCATTGGTATATTTGTCTCATCATGGTTGGGTGCTACACTCTTCTGGCTTGGAGAATGGTTCATCCAGCGAATGCCCTTTGTCAGGCATTTATATTCTGCCTCCAAACAAATTAGTGCAGCAATTTCTCCTGGTAATTTTGTATGCACACTAATATTTTGGTTTTTATTTGATGTTGAATGGCAATTTTTGGTCTCTTGAGTAATTTCTTATGTATGGTCGTCTCGAATTCAAATACGAGTTAATATAATGGGTCTCCTTCCCGTGCAGATCAAAATACTACGGCTTTCAAAGAAGTTGCAATTATTCGTCATCCGCGCGTTGGTGAATATGCATTTGGTTTTATTACTTCAACTGTTACCCTCCAGGTAATAATCCTTTGTGCACTATAGACGACTATATTTGCTAGGTACATGACCTTTGACACACTGCATTTCTTCTGTAAAAACTAAGCATGTAATAGAATGCTAAAATTCATCTCTGGAATGTTGGACTTGACTCACTTAGTCTAGAATCAGAGAAGTCAATTGCTACGGCCACTCGGTAGATTTAAGATTTCCGTTTGAAAATGATTCTCTTCAGAACTCTGTCATTTCATAAACTTGTACAGGGACGACTTAGGTTGGTTCACAGGTGAAATCATGGGAGAATGAGAATAAATTCCTGGGAGATATGTGAATTTGGCCAGAAAGTCTCGTACCAACCTTCTTTCTATATAGGTTGCAACGGGAGGAATACTATTTTACTAGGTTTGGGAATTATGGTTGGATGGGAGAGAGACCACGAAATACTTATTTTAACAAGACCAAATTACTACCAAAACGAGGAAATGTTGCTGAAGCGAGGGATGAGGAGTTGGCATTTGAATCTAGTAGACACCGAGTCACTGAGGTCTACTGTAGTGTGTTGTAGTCTTTTTATGCTGGCAGTAATTTTGTGGGGCTCATATGCTTCGGTTAGTTAGAATGTTGTCTGAGTGTTTTTTATGTTTTGCTTTAGGACTCGTACTTGAAAGTTCTTGGAGGGAAGGGAGTTCTCGAATCTCCCTTGGCTATTGCCATAAATTGTTGATAAATAAATCAAAGTTTATCAGAATCTCAACTTTATGCAGCCTCTTCTTGATGAATGATTTGACCGATCTTCTGGTCATGTTGAGTCTCAACAGCTTGGACAACAGGCCAAATTGTTTAAATTTAGGTATTGGACAGTTCCGGCAATTATTATTGTGGCTTGTTTTCAATTCTCATTCCTCACTAATAAAAGGAGTTTATGGATTGAGGAACTTTGAGGGACTTTGAGGCATATTTGGGCTGTTGAAACACTAAAGGAAACATCATTCTTCTACTGGGATTTGGTACTAGGAGGGTTCAAACACTGCTGTTCTGATCCAAAATGGACATACCAGCCTAAACCCCTCCCCGACCATATCTTGTTATGCAATACCGAAACAGAGGCTCAGGACCATCCTTTTTGAATTTCTTCTTTGCTCAAAATCTCCACAACTCTCTTTGAAGAGTTTAACCTGGCATGATACTTTTTTCAGTCCATCTCTCTAGCAATTGAGCAAATCCAAGTCTGTTTCAAGGAGAATGCTACCAAAGGAAATGCGTGGGAAGGTTTTATCTTTATGGGTTATACTTTATTCGTACTGAACATTGATTGATTGCTTTCTTCCATGACTTGTGGAAATTTGCTTTATGCATGTTTGCCTGTTTCTGGTGATCCTATAATTATTGATTTTCATTGCAGAGAGAGAGTGAAGATGAAGAGCTATGTAGTGTTTTCGTGCCAACAAATCACCTCTACATTGGGGATATATTTCTTGTTAATTCAAAGGACATCATAAGGCCAAACCTATCTATTCGGGAAGGAATAGGTACGTCATCTCTCTTTAAGTTAAACACTGCACTAGAAAAGATTCGATCGTCTGTTTTCATAACGATATGTTCAGCTCTATTTCTGTGTATTAAGTAATGCTGTAAATTTTTGTTCCTCAAAGTAGCATAGTTTGATGCATTGAACTTCTTGTTTACTTATCCTTCAGATAAGTTGTGCTATATTTTCATAAAAGTCAGAATGGTTCACCAACATCCATCTAATGCTACAGATAACTCGGATTTTGTTTACATCACTTCCCTTTAACTGAATCAAAACTTCATTCCACCCATCGTATTTGTCTCATATTACTGCCAATTGTGCAGAGATTATTGTTTCTGGTGGTATGACGATGCCGCAAATTATTACTCCTGTGGAGAGAGTTGATAGACAGGCTGAGAGAATAACTTTGAACAGACTAAAGTAGTGACTTGCAGAGGAGAAGATATCCCTGGTAATTATATGAGCAGTTTTTTGTCCTATAAATAGTGTGGAAGTAGTGGTAGTAACCTTATATGGCAGGTCATGGGATGACCTTAATAGACCTTAATAGAGTTAGGCTTGTCTGTGTGGCGAAACATATTGCCCTCTTGAATCCTTGTATTCGAGTTCGAGTCATAAATGATGGTTCTTGCTGTTGTTCCTACATTTGTTGATGTGTTTGTAGTGTTATCATAGTAATGATAGAAATCTTTTGATAGAAAACACAGATATCTCTCTGGTAATAGCATCGATTTCTGTTTCTCGATCGATTTGATCGAATCTGACCCATGGAAGAATATTGGTGACCATGTTTGGTGAAAAGTTTGTCTTGTTTTCTTTCAAAAAATGGAAATGGGTCTATCCCTGTTCCTGATCTTTGACCGAAATTATGAAGAAATGAGGAATGATTCTTAATTTTTATGAAAATCCTATTCTGAATAAGCCATTTTAGTTCCCCGATTTTCATTTATTTTGTTCTAAACTTCGGTTATTTTTAATACGTTTAAATAATTAGTTTAGTCTTAATACTAATGATTTAAGTTCATTTTATTCGCTGTACTTTCAAAATGTCACCGATCTTTATACTTCCAGCTTTTATCAATTTTCATACGTCAATTTAATCCCTTTACTTTTAAAAGACGACTAATTTATAATATAAAAAAAAATTTATTTTTAAATAATCAAAATTAGAAACGATTTCATGTCAAAACGGATCCTTTAATTTCTTTTTAAGTAAAAAATAATCAAGAAAGTTCGTATAAGTACAACACAGATAAAAAAAAAAATTCTAAGAAATCAAAAAAATTGAAAAATTGGTGTTTATAGAAGTGTATGTCTTTAGAAAGTGTTGATTTCTAGTTTTTGTGTGTGATATAGGGTCTGAAAACAGCTTAGTACCCTACTGGGTATCATTTTTCGTGGAGTACTTTTTTGTTGGTCATTTCATCTTTGTCTTGATGAAAAAATGACACGATACTTTATGCTTAAAAAGATTCTTAATATATAGTCATAAATTTGTATTAAAGGTTTCCTTTATATATAAATTTTGAACCTTAAACAAAAATCTTAAAATTTTAAGATTTAAGAATCAAAATGAACCAGATTTAAATTTACAACGATCAAAATTAATCAATATTGAACGATATAGGAATTAAGCTAATATTTTAGTCTATGTATTATGTATTTTTAATTTAGCCATGCTACTGATTTAATCTTGCTGATATTTTAGTTGATTATACACCATTTTAACTAGTTGAATTATTTATGTTTTATTTTAAAGTTAAATACTATTTAAGAGTTCTCTAACATTTGGCTTATAGCATAATTGTGAGCCAGCACTAATGTTTTAGATTAATAGATTGATGTATTAATTGGTATCTTATAAGTTCACTTATTTGCATTTTCAATTACGAATCTGATCTGTTTTCATCCATATAAAAGCAACTCCAAGTCTTTCCCCGCGGATTATTGGAAATTCCAAGCCAAACCAATAGTTCCCCTCCCGAAACCCCTTTAAAAAACCCTAGAATTTTCAATCTATCGAAATTTCGCCCGCCTAGATTCGCTGATTCTGTTCGAATACCAACTCCGGCGAGATCTCCAGCTTTCATTTTGCGGGTCTACTATCGAACCGCTGAATTTCTGAAGATTCGATGGACTTCGACGAGTATGATTACTTGGAGAAAGCCGTGGAGGATCAGGACGATAAGGAGACGAAGAAGGCAAAGAAGAGCGAGAGTGAGAGGAACGAGAAAAGCAGCAGGAAGAGAGAGGTAGACGAGGAAGCTGGCTCTGGTGGTCGTGTGGATGAGGAGCTGAAGGTCAAGAGGTCGAAAAGCGAGCATGAAAATGGGAAGGAGGATAGGGATCACTCGGGCCGAGCGAGGGATCGGCATCGAAGAGACAGAGAGGAAGAAACAGATGGGGTTAAAGAGAGGGATAGAGAAAGGAACCGTACGAGAGATAGGGGTAGCAGTGAGAAGGAAAGGGATAGAGACAGGGATAGAGAGGAGAGAGATAGAGAGAGACATAAGGAGAAGGAGAAGGAGAAGGAGAGGGAGAGAGACAAGGATAGAAGGGATAAGGAGAGAGATAGAGAGAGGCATAAGGAGAAGGACAGAGAGAGAGACAAGGATAGAAGGGACAAGGAGAGGGAGAGGGAGAAGGAGAAAGAAAGAGAAAGGAGAGAAAGGGAGAAGAGGGAGCGGGAGAGAGAAGAGGAGAGATCGAGGCGAAGCAGGAGTCGGTCTGTTCGGGAGAAAGAACGTGAAGTTGATGTCAGAGAAAACAGGTAATTGTTCATTTGTGCGCTCTTTGTTGAACTGTGATCTTGAAAGCTTACAATTGACTGTTGGGTGTTGCTCTTATACGTTTATTTTCCGCTTGTTTCTCGTTGTTATTCTTAACAATTATGGGGCGGTGTGTTTGAACGTGAAACAATTTTTTTCGTGGAAAATGTCCAAAGGATAGAAACTTCCCATATGAGGCGAAAACAATCATCCAAGCAAATAGAATGGAGAAAATATCTGTAAAAAATTATAAGAGCCGAAAGATCTACCAAATATTTGAGCACTGAGTATAAGACCGAGCAACTTCGAGAAGAACAAGTCAAGAAGCCAGCTAGCCAAAACAACAAAAGCCACTTCCACCAATCACCAAACACTGCTCCAGGCTACAGGCTAATAGGATATCAACTGGGAAACTGCCAAAACTTAATAGAAACTCCTTTGTGAAACAAGCTATCAATTCTCTGATCAAAAGCTCTTCAAACACACCAAACTAATCACACTAATGCTTCAACCAAGCACACAACCATAAATGAATTAATCTGGAATAAGCCATACTTGATTGGTGATCTTTAGCTTTGAACTCCCAAACATCTTGAAGTCCATGAGATGATCTTCATGGCTATGGACGCCAGCCCACATTGTCAGTTGAGAAAAAGTGCTCAAGGCATAGGACGAAGTTTATGGTAGATATATTTTTGGTTACTGCTTACTAAGCTTGTCTTTAAATTTGAATCTATTGTATGAAATTGGTTTCTCATATAAATTAAAACAAAATTGTTGCATTAAACAATATGACATTTATCGAGTTAGAAACTTAGATTAGAATACATTTATGCTCTAGGTAGTGAACTGTGTAAACATTAGCGCTAATTCCCAGGCCTTTGGTTTGGCATCATTGCTAAACCAGATATTCCGTGGAAATTAGGACCTCTTTCAAGCCTGGTAATGACAGTCGGTTATTTATTTATTTTAATTTGTTGATTTGTTTGAAAAGAAAAAACACTTGCGTTTCATTGACAAGTGCAAAAGTTTTCAAGCCATTTACTGAGTTGGTATTTTGCAACAGAAAGGGTAGGACAACAGCCAATGATAACCACGACATCAAATGAAATCATAAAAGTGTAGACTTGTTCTCCAAGTTCTTTTTTATTTTTATTATTCATTCTCTTTTCTTACTGCATTCTATAGTCTAAATTACTGATATACCGCGATGAAGGTTTTATCAGGAAGTTCACATTCATTCAAAAAAGATTGTGCCTTCACATAATCACTATCCCCTAGTAATATAGAGTGGAAAGAAGAAATCTAAGTCGTTCTAAATTTCTTAAACATTATTTTAATTTAAATTACTGTGTTTTCCTTCAATTTTTCCCTGATGTTTGTGTGTGCAAATGGCAGGAGAATGAAGGAAAAGAAAGACATGGTGGAGCCTGAAGCGGATCCAGAGAGGGATCAAAGAACTGTATTTGCATATCAGGTTGATAGTTTTCCTTGTTTTTCCTTACCTTTCATGTTCTCTTTATATTTTGCTTATCATTTTTATTATCCTCTATATTCTTTGTGCAGATGCCTTTGAAGGCCACAGAGAGAGATGTTTATGAATTCTTTTCAAAAGCGGGAAAGGTATTTGAAATGTGTTACTCAAGTGAAGCACATATGTGTTTATTTTTTATTTAGCAAAAAATTAACAATTAAAGGTCTTAGCAGTCATACGTGCATCTATATTATTTCCATGAGCCATGTCCCTTGTACTTGTTCACCTCTGTAGCATGTATTAGATAGAGGAATTTTGGTTGCAATGTTATTGCTACAAATGTTATGATGGCATAGATATTGAGATAGATTTGCTTCATATTGCAGTTACTGTTCCTCTGCCTTCAGTTTCGAAACTATAATCAATTTCTTCTATCTCAACATTCTTTTATATGGGGTGAGTGAAAATGTATATGAGTTCTGTCGTGATCTCATTGATGGCTGAATGATGCTTTGCTTCGAGTGTAAAGAACGGAAACCTTTATTGCTTTTCTTTTTGCCGGCTTCCTAAATAACCTTCTGTCATTGTTTTTTCTATTTCAGGTGAGAGATGTCCGGCTGATCATGGACAGGAATTCTAGACGGTCAAAAGGAGTTGGGTATGTGGTCTTGGGATGAACAAGTTTTATATTGTATGCTTGTGATCTCGTTAATATGGTTATTAATATAGTAGTTTTGAAGTATCAAATTTAACTGTATTTTTAAATGAACTAGCAATGCGATAATGATGAGGGATGGTGGGAATACTATGCAGTCATGTTTAATCAATTCATGCTGCTTGTTCAAGGTAGATAACATAAACCTGAGGTTTCCTTTGTTGTTTTCCCCATCGTACTCCTAATTCTGCTCCTCTATGTTTTTGTGCAGATAAGAAACAGTCCTAACTCCTATGACTCTGTTATCTCTGGTCTTGGTTTTAGATTCATTTCTTTCTACTATGTAATTTCTTGGTTCAAGTTAACTTTCAAACAGTGATTTGTTACACTTTATTAAAATTAACACGTTTTGTCGTGTATCATCTACTCTCATTGTTTTTTTTCCTTGGTAAGTATGCAGAAAGGCTCTGGCTTGCGGTTGTTTTTTTTTTTTTGGGGGGGGGGGGGGG